GATAATGACATTCCTGATGTAGCAGGCTGGCCAACCCTGGTTGAAGTACAGCAGGCACAAGAGGCCATTCACTTCAGTAATGTAAGTGTAGTTAACTATACCTAGGCTCAAACTCTCCCTTGTTCATCAAAGCGGATTGTAAATTTCATTTGAAGGAAAGAAGTCTATCCTGATAAACTCTGTTAAGTCTATTTTGATAGACTCTGATAAGTCGTTTCTGATAGACTTTGATAAGTTGTTTCTGATAGACTTTGATAAGTTGTTTCTGATAGACTTTGATAAGTTGTTTCTGATGGACTTTGATAAGTTGTTTCTGATAGACTTTGATAAGTTGTTTCTGATAGACTTTGATAAGTTGTTTCTGATAGACTTTGATAAGTTGTTTCTGATAGAATTTGATAAGTCATTTCTGATAGAATTTGATAAATCGTTTCTGATAGTCTTTGACAAGTCATTTCTAATAAACTTTGAATATGCAGTTACTCTTACTATTTGGTTTTATACTTTAGAAAATGTTGTGTGTTTGAAATGATACACTCCAATGCTCAGGAGACTAATTGTAATCTTTTTTTTTTTTTTTTTTTTTTTTTTTTTTTTTTTTTGTCATAACCCATTGGTGCTGGGATGGCAAAAATACAGGCCATGTTCACTTCTATTTTAACAATTGCTAATACATAGGTGGCTTCACCAAGGAGTGGTTCACATACCTTTTCCCTCCTTTTTTTTCTTTCTTTTCTTTTTCTTTCTTTCTTTCCTCCTGTTAGTTTTGTTAATAATATTATGATACAATATCAATAATGATATTGACATCAGTGTTTATTGTACTCGGAAAAACCTTTTCCTGAAAACTTTTGAGTAGGTAAATCAGATGAGATGGCATAGGCAAAGTAATTGGCTCCTTGATAGCTGAGTACTTGTGGAGTCATCTTTGTACAAACCAAATTCACAAAAGAAAACTACAGTCAGCAGTACTTGTATTTGGCAACAATGGGTTAACATCACTGCTTGGTACAAAATTATGGTGTGCCCCTATGTGTGATATTTAAGTGTTCTGTAGGGAGATATTTTTGTGACGAGCTACAGTGATACTTTCTTGATTACAGAATGCTAAGACTGAATGGAGAAAAAGTGAGGAGAGAAAGATAAAGGATGTAGACAGATCTAACAAGGAGCATGAGATTGAAAAGTCAGAAGACTCGGGTTCACATGATGACGATTCGCTCAAAGAGAACCGTGAAGCCTCTGCACCACAGACCAACAACAACAATAACAATAAACTTCAGCAGACTAACAATGCTTCCACCAAAGCTGCCAAGAATAAGAAGAATAAAAGTAAGTTGAAGGCTTCATGGTAGAATGCTGTTTTATTTGGTTTGAGGGGTTTTATAAAGTCAGCAAGGGAAACACTGCATACTCATATTAGCATATTCAAAGAATACTTTTAAGATAGGATAAATAGTAGAGAAGTAAAGATATCTTCACTTTATTATGATACAAATATCAGATTATTGTCATACTGTTATAATTCTAACCTCTTGAATTGTTTACAGTCAAAAAGCAGAATTGGAAGCGATTAGACATCCCGCCCCCTAAGCGAGAGAAGGGTTTCAGACGAACAGAGGGACGTGCTTCAGACTCTCTGGACTGGCGTGCGGACACACGGGCAACCAGCAATGCATCGAGGGGTCGTGGCAGTGGTCGTGGCGGCACAATCAGAGGAAGAGGCCGAGGGAGAGGAGGTGGCCGAGGAGGAGGAGTAGGAGGAGGAGGGAGCGTTGCAGGGGTAGGCAATGGACAAGTTGGTGGACGGGGCACCTTTAGGAGCCCCTCGACTGAACCCTTTGAAAATTTCCACGAATATTCAGAGGTAGGAATTAGATCATGATCAATATGCATTTGAAAGAAGCAGTGGATGGTACAGAGTGATTCATTCTGTATTTTTCTGTTGAAAGATAAATAATTTGCGAGTTCTAACATCTTTTATTCTTTTGCCTTTCAGATTCCCGAATACATGCTTCAGGACCCTAATTTGATGCAGTTCTTTGTACCATCAGTAGGATTCATTTTCCCGGAGTTTGTGCCTCAGGACGAAACGGCTGTTAAAGAGAAGATCAAGAAACAAGTGTGAGTTTTACTTTCCAGCAGTGATTTTCCTTCACCATGCAAACAGATGCATGCATGCAAACACACACAAACACCCACCCACCCACTCTCACCCTCACTCCCTCACTCTCACTCACTCACTCACTCACTCACTCACTCACTCACTCACTCACTCACTCACTCACTCACACCTCACGCACACGCACACCCACACGCACACCCACCGCACACCACACCACACGCACACGCACACCCACACGCACACCACACACCCACACGCACACCACACGCACACCCACACGCACACCCACACGCAACACCCACGCACACCCACACGCACACGCACACGCACACGCACACACACACACACACACACACACACACACACACACACACACACACACACACACACACACACACACACACACACACACACACACACACACAAAAGGTTAGATTTGGAGGAGTAATGTATTTTGCATAGCTTGATCAATTACCCATAGTAATCATAGTCAGTGAGAGCATGATACATCAGTGTATTTGCTATGCAACTACTCTATTGATTTCTATAATGACTGCTGCAGTTGCTTTCATGTTCAATGAGTTCACAACAACGACAGAATACATATACAGTTTTTATATGGGTCCTGGTTAATCATGGAAATCGAAGTTTAGTATTTGTCTTTAAACATTTAAAAGCCTGGCTTAGATTTAATTTTTTTATTTATGATATGAGTCTTCAGAAAGAAATAAGAATAAACTTTGGAGGATTTGAGGTAACTAAATGAAATGTTGAAAATTGCATAGCCTAACTTGATACATGCTGATCCATTATAAGCAAGTAGTCTCTGAAGAGCCAATAAAACATGGAATGAGGTTTGGAATGTTAATACCAAAAAAAGTTTACAAATTCTGTATTTAAAATGTTTGTTTTATTGTTACTGATCACTTGCTCAGTCACAGTTAGGTTGCCTAGCTCTTTTCTTTAGATTTTTGTTTGTTAGTGATATGCTGTTGATTTTAGATTCTATAGCATTCCAGGCAGTAAAGGATGGGTATTATGCTTAGCAACAAATCACAGTATACTGAAATTGAATCTATATAGACATTTCAGAATAATCTTTTCAAGGGCCTTATGGTATGTGAAAATGTATCCTGCTTTATAAAAGAATATATTTTCCTAAACGCTTGCCACTAAAACAAATGGATATTAAGGAATGTGTACTGTAAAGGGGACTGTCAGGAATTAATGGAAGGTGTTTGAATTAACCCCATGCCAACGTATAGTTATAGCTGTCATGAGTTATTTTGGCACTGTGCTGACTATAACTTGGTCTTGTGCTGGTGTGCTGTAGTTCACCATGGCAGGTTGGCTGGCCCGATTGTGCAGAAGATATCTGAACGAGTGTTCCTATAGGTCCCTATGAAAGTGCTGAACAGCAAATTTTCAGCCCAGCATCAGTAGGTTAAATTTGATAAAAGTGTCCTAAATTTTTTTTTGATAGTTTTTTGTTTGTTAATCAAATGTTCCATGTGAGACTCACAATATGATCTTGCCTAAATGCTCATAAGCAGCTATATGTATTTATGATTAGGACATTTAGATACATTCCCTGGTAAGACTCAATATGATGGCTAGAATGTTCAAAATTATGATCATTTTTGTCAAATTATGAGTTCCAGAATTTATAATGGCTGCAGTTCCAGAAATAGGCCTGAACCAGTAAGACATCAACACAACACCAAGATACCAGAGCTGAACTTTTCCCTAGCAAAAGAACTTGAATTTTTCCTTCATATTTCAGTGAGTACTACTTCAGTGACGAGAATCTAGCCAGTGACATATTCATGAGACGGAAGATGTCCAAAGATGGCTACATTCCTGTGTCACTCATTGCATCATTCAATCGCATGAAGCAACTTACCCAAGATGTTAAGTTGATCATTGATGTATGCAAAACTTCAGATAAACTCCAGGTTAAAGATGAAGTGTGGGTAAGTTGTGTAGTATTTTTCCTTAATTGATACCTTGGAAATTGGTCTGACAAGTGCTTTGGAAGAGTGTTTAGTCTTCTGTAGAAATAGTAGTTACAGACCATATAAATTGCAGCCATAATTTACATAACCAGGTTGTGCTTATTATCATTGAGGTGTCTTAAAATAATCTTTAAAGTTTTGTTTATCGATAAGTATGGTTATCTAGCATGTAAAATATGTCTTACTTGGAAGTTGTTAGAGCTAATGCAAATCAAGACTAACAATCTTACCACTTCCAGCTGAGGACCAAACATGACCCCACAAAGTGGCCCTTGGAGGATGCCGCAGCTGGACCCCTACAGGCTCAGCTGAATGCTCTGGCTCCTCCTGTTTCTCCACCAGCCAATGTCACCCTCACCACCCCAGCCAGCATTCCCACCTCATCAGAAACTCCTCAAGTGCCAGATACTGCCGTCCCACTCTCCCCTTCGATTGCCATGATGAATCCAGAAGTCCCAGAATTTACACCCCTACAACCAGAGCTGGACCCTGCCCAGCCAGAGTTTGTCCCAGCACAACAGAAACCTGTCCCCCCTGCCAACAAAACAGAACCTACTAGAAATGAAAATGATGGTGTGTGAGAGTAATATCTTGAGACTGAGATTTTGTTATTTGTATATTTCTATGGTTTTACATCATCTCTTTTAGGGATGAAATTTGTACATATTTCTTACTAACTTTGAACTGTTTTTACTGCAATATTTCATTTTGAAGATCTCTTTATGCTATAAAGATTTATTTGACATTTTGTTTATTCCAGCTTCTGGAACAGTGAGTGTAAAAGATGACCAGTGGAAGGAGGTGAGTCACATTCCTGTGTATATATACCATATGTATTGAGATCAAAAATACTTAGGGCATTATTGTGTGTATTCCATACCTGCAGATAGTAAAGCATGAAGAAATTAAGTTTTCATTCTTTATCTTTCATTCCAAATTCAAAAATAAAGGTAGCTTGTCTTGGTTAATGTAATTTGCCTGCAAAGATTATATATATTTGCATAAACATTTGGAAGTAAATCACCATACTCTTGGCATTTTTAGGTAAAGCGAAAGACCCGAATGCGACGAGATAGTGAGGGCAAAGACAAGGAGGTGCAGGCACCAGCGAAACATCCCGTCGTTGAAAAGCCCAGCAGCAACAAGAGCAGTCGGGGAGCTTCTCAGGAACCATTTGGCTCTAGCAAAGACATGAGGGAAGAGCTGGACTTTCAGTTTGATGAAGAGCTTGACAGTTTACCCAAAGCTGGAAGACAACATGACTTCAGTGAATGGTAAGGAGAGAGTGAGTGGTGTGCTGCTCTTGAATATCTCTCTGTATATAAGTATGTCTCTGTATATAGGTATGTCTCTCTCTCTCTCTCTCTCTCTCTCTCTCTCTCTCTCTCTCTCTCTCTCTCTCTCTCTCTCTCTCTCTCTCTCTCTCTCCCTCTCCCTCTCCTCTCTCTCCCTCCTCCTCCTCCCTCCCTCCCTCCCTCCCTCCCCCCCCCCTCCCACTCTCCTTCCATTTCCTCTCCCTCCCTCCCTCCCTCCCTCTTCCCTCTTCCCTCTTCCTCCCTCCCTCCCTCTCCTCCCTCCCTCTTCCTCTCCTCTCTCTCCTCTCTCTTCCCTCTCTCTCTCCCTCTCCCTCCCTTTGTCTATCTTTATCCATCTTCCTAATTCTCCCCTTTATCTTTTTCTCTATCTTTTCTTCCTCTTGCCTTTCCCATTCTTTATCAGTTTGCTTCAAATCCTAATTCTCTTCCTTCTCATCCTGCCTAATTTTCTTTATCCTCTTCAGCCGTTTTATTTTTGCAAGGATTATTTTCTATGAGTGTTTATGGCTTACCTGTTTCAAAAAAGTTGCTAAGTGATTATATACAATATATATAATGTATATTCATATATGTATATGTGTATGTTGTATATGTATATGTATATGCATATGCATATGCATGCACATGTATATGTATATATGTATATGTATGTATGTATGTATATGTACATGTATGTATGTATGTATATGTACATGTGTATGTATATGTATATATATTGTGTATTTATATATGTATATATTGTGATGTACATATATGTATGTATGTATATATATATATATATATATATATATATATATATATATATATATATAATATATATATATATATATATATATATATATATATATATATATATAGTTTCTTACCATATGTCTTTTTATGGATCAGTCTAAAGTATATCTCACAAACAGGTCTGATGATGAAGAGAGTGATTATGAGATCAGTGACCAGGATGTCAACAAACTCTTAATTGTGACTCAGTCCCCGCCATCTGTCATTGGTGGAACTTCTAATAGACCAGCTAAGCATGACGGATTTGACCGAACAGGAGACTGGACGACACGCGTGAAGATCACGCAGGAGTTGGCCAAAGTCATCAATGATGGGTTGTATAATTATGAGCAGGACTTGTGGGAGGGCAATGAATGGGTGAGTGTGAAATCTTTTCTTTGAGATTGGTAGATTTAAATCAGTGGTCAGAATTCACAGAAAATATTGATTATATCTTTTAATGAATGGCAAAATACACAACTGTGTTGATAAAATAGAAAAACCTACTATGAACTAACTAGAGTTACTGAAAAACAAGACCTCTTTTAATAAAGGGTTTTGTGATTTAAGATTGAGAGAGAGAATTGTATTCATTTTTCTTTCCTTTCAACTTGCAGTTCCCCAAGTCTGCTGACGCACAAAATGCAGCTAGAATGCAACAGGTGACGATGATCAGTCAAGAGGTGATGGACTCCTTGCGTCCCAACAACCCGCCTGTCCCTGCTAACCAAGAGGTCCCTCCCCCTCCCCCTCCCCTTCACCTCATCCAGGTATGCTAACAATCCCGTCAAGTCACACCCTCTGTAGAACCTTGGGCTGTGCCAGAGGATCCCATGCTGTCACGAAAACAAAAGGGGGAAAAAGCAAAAAGAGACAAACAGAAACTTTGATAAGCATATTATCTTCTCAGTAGTTTCATGTAAACCAGACTTCATTTGATATATTAATTATTTTTGGGATTTAACTTGGTTGCAGTGTCAAAACATTGATATCATTTTTTCACTTACAAAGAATATTATAGAAAGAACAAAATTTTCTTCAGCATCAAAGAAATTCCCTGCTTCTTCGGTCTTCAAAAGGTGAAGGAAAGAACATACACAGAGTCACATGAGTATGCTCTTTTTCATTTCTATTTGGCATATTTTGTGAACTGTTTCCCATATTTGTCAAGGTACTTCCATTCTCTTGTGACCCCTGACCCAGTGTGGGCATTGTTCACTGGTTGATGTATTACTAAATATTTTTGTGAGATCAGAAAGCATCTGTCATTTGC